ATGTAGGAACAAAAAAAATTCACATTACACATATTTTTGACAGGACGAAGTCTGTCGGGTCCGCTAGTCTTTTATATAATCCGGTAGCAATTTGAAGTCATATTTCTCTCTTTCATAATTCCTTCGATTTTAATTATTCATTCGATTCATGCAGTCTTAATTCGTGAGTCACTCTAAATTTCACTCGAAGTGCTATGATATAATTTATGATAACACCTAAAGATTCCAGCAAAAGAATTTCAGGAAATACAAATTTGCAAATTCAAAAATGCAAAATTATTTTAAACTATACACTTACCTTTCCTTTATCGGTGTTTCCACTTTTCAGCGATTGCCTCTTATTTTTCGGGTCCAGCTTTCTCTATCGGCCAATAGGTCGTCGTCCATTCTTCTTTTACGTGCGACTGCCATTATTCCTGAATTCTAGGTTTTACGAGGCCTTCTTTTCATTCTCCTTGGAGGAGACCAATCGAGGACATTCTTAGGCCATCTTGAATATGACATCTTAGATGGTCATACCATTGCAGAGTTTAGCATTCTAATCTATTCACAACAGATTCTATTTGCTGCATCCTTTCCCTAATCTGTTTCTAATTTTTTTGAATTCTAGAAATTTGGCAGCTCCTTCGTAGTTCGTACATTTCTACTGCACCAAAATTTCTGCTCCTGACGAACTTTCAGGGTCCAACTCTCTCCACCATAGGCTACAATACTTTCAAAATTAGTTCTTACAGTATTTTTTTATTCTTACGTGAATTTCTCGATTCCATAACACGCACTCAACATTCCCGCTCTTCTTCCCTGTTTAATGCGGTCATGAATATCCTTTTCATTATTTCCAGACTTATAGGATTATACCCAAGTACTTGAACTGTTCAAACTACCTTAATCCTTCCTACTACTTGAACATCCAAGTCAATACCTTCCTCTCCTACTATCAAATACTCTGTTTTCTTCAAATTTAAGTCTACCCTGCACACAGACCTGTACAGTTCATCGGGTCATGTATTCAGCATCATCCATCTTGGGTCACTATGACCTGATCATCCAAGGATCATCCGCGTATAATCAGGTCAAACTACACATATTTTTAAAAAATTGTACATGGCAATACACCTTTGAAATTTACAACGGACTTACCTTTTACATCAAATTCGATCAGGTGGTTTACGCCATCAAATTGTATTTCTGCAATTTGCCTGACAATTGTTGCTCTCTTAGGTTGTGTCGGGTGTTTGGGAACTCGGGTCTTTTTTGCTCTGAAGGACATCCTCGTTTTTTTGGAAGGACTTCTTACAGAGAGACCGGGAGAGATGGCTGAGGGCATCAACTGCAGTCCCTCTGACCGGAGGTCCTAAGTTCGAGTCACGATGGTGACTTATCATGTCCGTTAGGTCGAATTCAGTCACAGTCTAGAGAAGAATTCTAGTGGCCGGCTGCTGTAATCGGTAGTTTTCCGTGGTTTCTCCGATAAATACCAGGCGAATACCGGTGCAGAACCCTAAAGAACGGGCCACTGACCATGCGCGATCTTTCCGACCACTTCCCTTTCCTATCCTCACCCCTTACATGCACTTACACTAACCTGCACTACACTACCACACATGCGGGGAAACCGAACGAGGCCGAACCGGAGCATGTCCGGTATCCCGCTGGTGGAATATACTTGGTTGAGGAAAACTCCGTTAGCCGACTGTAGGTCGGCGCCGAATCTCGCCACACAGCAGGGGAACACCACCGCCACACCCCGAGCAAAAACGTACTACACTTACGGGGCTAATTACCCTATATGTTGACGATGCTCGGAATCACTAGCAATCAGTCTTACGGAGAGAATATATTGCAAAGCATTAGAGAATTTTAACATGAAATGTAATATGTTACCTTTTTTGTAGGTAAAATTGCCCATTTCATTATATAATGAACCCGATAGATCCCCAGTTTCTGATGTCAACCTTTTCTAAATTTGAAATAAGTTTTTCTCCTGATATATTTTTTTCTTTCAGATCTTTCATCAATAATCCAAACATAATCGTCATTTTCAACTACCATTTCGGCCAATTCACATACTCGCCAGTTCTTACGTGAATTGACAGTTACGGTGTAATACATATATACCACTATTCTTCAAAGCTCTGAAAACCAACTTCTGTGAAATCGATAATGTTACACTATGCAGCTTACGACATAACATAGTTTTGACAACTATATAAAAAACCAGTAAGCTGATTCTAAGAACATGACATCATACAACAATGAAAGATAAAAATCACCTATCACATATTCATCCGCTTCATCAGCCTATTTTTCAACGATCATTGAAATACAGAACAAAGCGAAAGGTGTTTTGTTACAAACAAATTAATATTAAAAATATTTTAGTAAGTAAAACTTGCAAAAAATAATTTAAAAATATAATAAATATAAACAAACTAATCGTAGTATATTTGGGACAATGTGACCGAAAGGGTTAACAACGTTCCTTCTTAATGGAAAGGATGGGGAAAGGGTGGGTATTAACATACGAGAGTTCTCGCATGAGTACGCTAGAGGTATTTATAATGCAAAGATAAAAATATTAATTTTATTATTTTTTTGTCTCAGAGTTGCTTTCTTTGAGATATGTAAGAACGCAAAAAATAATCTAATACTTTTTAGTATACAAATAATTTTTCAATTTTCGCACCCCAGCAAGCTCGCGCCCTGCCCCTCCAAAACCCCCACTTTTCATAACAAATCCAGGAAAGTTAAATAATATTGCAGAGAATAGATTTGTACTTGCCCGATCCTGCATTTTCGCATGGAAAACGTTACTTGGCTTTCTCAAGAGTAAAAACCTTTTCTAATATTTGTGTGACTATCAAGGAAAGCCAAAAGCCAACTTTCAAGGAAGATTGAATTAATGCATCAATTTTTTTTAAGGAAGTGTGAATTGTTCGAAGAACATATCTCTACAACACTGAATATACCTTTATTGAAAAATTATTTCCATTGTCAATTGATTGTTTTTATTTTTGTTTGATATTCCGTAAGTACGAATAAAATTTATAATTTTTAACAAATAAACACGTTTCATTTACAACTATCCTTCTTAATGGAAAGGATATGGAAATGGATAAGGAAAGGGAGATGATTCATATGCGAGAGTTCTCGCACGGGTACGCTAGTAACAGTTTAATGCAGAAAATGATTTCATATATGTTTTAATTTTATGGTAATAAAACTTTCAAAAAACAATTATAACACAGCTACTTACAATAACCTTTATTAGAAACTCGATTATTAAAGTTGAAGGAAGATGGGTTTTCCATTCCAAAGATGGGAATCCATTGGTATTCCGTGGAAGTATTTGGAGTCGAGGATGTACAAGCTGAAGTAGCAGAGTGATTCGTCGATTTCGAATGGATTTCACAGATGTGTATACTCATTAAAGTATTTTCCTGAGTAAGTTTGGTTGTATCGTTCTACATAGTTTTGGTAATAGCATGTTCTTTGTACTCTTCATCATCTAATCTTTGCATATCAATTGCCCACAATATGTGTAATTTCTTCATTTGTAGTTTGTGCTGTCCATTTGTGTTTTCTTTCTTCACAAAATTCTTGAAATTGCTTCCACATTTTTACTGTTTCTTTTGCTGTTTTTCGGCACTGAATCTTTAATAATAGATTTATTTCAGAGTTTTAAAAATGACCAAAATTACACATTTTAATATTATATTGATGATCCCAAGCAATTACGGACCTAAAACAATTGCTATCTTTGTCTTAAATGGTAAAAAAAGTGATAATTTTATGGCGATACACATCTGGGATTAGTTTAATTTGAAACTATTGTTGCTTAGCATTGATTACTTACTTTTTTTTATTACATGGACACACACGAGTGAAATAGTCACGTTCAAATTTAACTATGGGAACGCCACGACATGTCAGTTTAAAATAAATTCACATAACTTCTCATTGTTAGGCTGTGTCTGGAACAGTTTTAGAGATTTGAATTTGTGAAGATGTTTCGTACCTTTAAATTAGTTACATTATCGTACCTAATGCTCTAGGATTTATAATCAGTTTTATAAGTGATGGCTGAGATGTGTTAATATGAACGATATTGTGTTATAATTTTACGTCGCCGTTGCTGATGCGCGAAAGCAAGCGTTGTAGAAGCACCACTAATTCATCAATATTCTACATTATTTCTCTTCTCTTATAGCACATTATATTTAATTTCAGTTATGAACTACTTTCATTTTTACTTTATCGCCTACTACTTACGTAGTGTAGAGAAAGTATTGTAATGCTGTGGAAAGAAACGAATATTTTTCGTAAGAAAAACTCGTATTGTCGTAAACTCGTAATGATAGCTATTCCTCCACAAATTATTATTCTGCACATAATCGTTGAGGATAAGAAACGAAAATACTTTATATACCTGACTTGTCTAAAGGCAGACAAAGGTAATCATAGCACTTTTCAAGTATATTCGACCATGCAATTGAAATTGCCGCGTCTGTGTCATCTAGAAGTAAAGAATACGTAAGATATTTCGAGAACTTTCTTGCCTGTTGGGCTAGCTGTCATGTTGATGTGCTGTTCTGGTCCTGTTAACCGCGTTTGAAGTGATAGCTTGTCTCCAGAAAATTATTATCCAATACTTGCTCGTTGAGAAAAATAACCGAAAACGCTTCCTGATTCGTCAAAAGAGATAATAAAATTACATCGCAAGTTATGAATTCGACCGTCCAATTGAAATTGCCGCATCTGTGACATTAGGATGTAACGAATATTTCGAGAACTTTCGTGGTAGTTCGAATACCTGTCGTTAAAAGCGCTGTCACCATTTTTAATGACAATCATAGACTATAGAATCGTGACGGGCATTGCTTACTCGATGTTGGGCGGTCTGCAGCATTGTGAGAAGTCTTGATTGAGTATACTAGAGTATACATTCATTGACCGGGTGGCCTGGTGAATCTTATGAAACCCGTGCATGCGTTTCCAGCTTTGGTGTGGGTGGGCATATCACCCCTTGTGCTATGTATCAGATACTGATTTACGATTGAATTTGTCATCGTAGAATTTTTGTGGATTCTTTTGAACATCAAGTACATTTTCTTAAGATCAGAAGAACAGTGCAGTTATGCCTAGTGAAGGAAGTGAATTGCTTCAGTGTTACAATCGTGGATGTGGTCAAAAATTTGACCCACAAACGAACAAAGAAGGTAATGCAAAGATACCAACATCAGGATTGAAATGGACATATTATAATTTTTTGAGGGACTGTTTTCATTAATTTCAGATTCATGCATTCATCATCCCGGGGCACCCTTTTTTCATGATGCATATAAAGGGTGGTCGTGCTGTAATAAGAAATGCACGGATTTCACCGAATTCCTAAACATAAAGGTAGTGATTAGCATGTGTGTCTTTTCAGTAATGATTAGAGTTTGCTCTCTATAATCACTTGCAGTAATTTGACACATATCTTGTGTGATCTAGGGATGCACAAAATCCTACCATAGCAATGTTAAACCTCCAGAGCCAGAGAAACCTGTTGTTGATAAATCCAAGGCTGATGAAGTTATAGAATATAAAGCTCCTGAACCATTAGTTAGAGAAGCTTTGGAAAGACCATCTTTTGACTCTCCGTTGGTAAGATGAAAGTTAATATAGATTCTGAATTGTAAGTAAATTAACAGAACTAGCAAATTATATTGCTTATGAGAGTCTGAAAATTCCTGGAATAAGGACTTAAGCAGAAGGGAAATTGAAGATGTGTGACAATAGAGTAATCCTGACCTGGTGGATAATTTTTCTCTCCCTGGTCTTGCTGAAAACTTCACTACAATGACTACATTTCCACAGTGCTGTAATAATACTGTTGCAGATCTGTCTTCATTAAACATTTTGAAAGAATTGCGATTCTGTGATTCTTATAAGAATTGATATTAACTAAATTTCTTCAACCAAATCCTTTCTAAAGTTCTGGGATCCTCATATTCTTTGCATTTATTTCTAAATCTGTGTTTTCAAACCAGTTACTATTGTTTTTTCCATTTATTCTCATGATTATTTAGAATGCTATACAATATAGCTTGAAAATATTGTTAATACAAGGTGTTTTCCATAAAGTTGAATTCAATCCCTATTTAATTTTATTTGGTGAGCTATTTATTTAACTTCTATTTGGTGATGAGTACAGTGTCATGCCACGCGGTACCGTCTAAATACGTGGCCCTACTAAGATTACTGAACAATAACTGTATTATTCTACTGACCTACTGCCAGTCATATGAAAGGTATTTCAGTGTCCTCAAACAAGATGAATGTGAGTGATCATGCGACGTACATAGGATTTAATAATAAAGTTGGCATCAAATATGTTTGTAGGCTCAAATGTGGTAAAAGCTTATATTTCAGTTACTTGACAACCAGTATATCTGTTATAACCAATAAACAACTTTTCACTTATGATTAATTAGACTTTTATGAATGAGGTTAATTTATTTCAATTTGTCGGGAAGATATTTTCGATTTGAGAGGGTTCTCGGTTGCAGAGCTGACTTTCTAACATGTTTGTTCATGTAGGTTTTAAATTATTTGAGATTGTTTCACCCAATTGTTGTCTGCCAGGAGTTTCTGCCTTGACTAAATTTAAAATAAAACCAAAAGAATGTTTTCAATCCAAGGTAGATTTATTGATTTAGGTTGATATGAAAAATTTGTGGATGTGTGAACAAAACCTTTTCTTGAAGCTGTAACTTAATAAACACTTTAATTCTCAAAATCAAAGGATTAATGTGAAATTGTCATGGTAGTATATAAAAGTATTTATTGACTAGGCCGTCTGTATGGGACACAGTAATGCAATTACCTTAAGTAGGCCAAGAAATTTTTAAAAACTAATAAAAGATCATCTTCAAGAACAATTCAATTTATTGTAGTTCTTTGTTTTGCTCATAAAAAAATCTGCTGAGTTTATATTTGAGCAGATTGAAATAACTGATAGTTTACATTAACCTAAGTGTTTGAAATATACTAGATAGTAATACAAAGAAGGAAACATTTAATCTTGATGTTTTTTTTCTTTCTAATATTTTATTTTTCTCACTGTCAGGAATCCTGAAAATTCGTCCCCAAAAATTGAACTGAAAGAGACATGTTACATTTATAATTCTCATGAATGTAATACACATTGCAGATGACCCTGAAAGTGGATGTTTCTCCAGCTTTGGCCCAACAGGTTCAATCACTAAAATTGGGTAGCAATAGTCAAGAAACACCAGTTTCATCTGAAATTCCTATTGGCACCCCATGCAAAAATGGAGGCTGTAAACAGGTATGAATAATGCTGCAGCAGAAAACGATTGAAGCAAGTTGATGGAAGATATTTCTCCTTAAAGTGAACAGACAGTATTTCATTTTGTAGTAATGTGCAATAAATGTTGAATTTTGAGTTAAGTAGCCTTCTAGAAATGTTTGATATTACAGTAGGACCCCATTAAAAGTGACTGGAGGCATTAAATCAGCTTAACATAGGATGTTAATTTTTCCATTATTCACATTAATTAACTATTTAGAACACCCATTATAAAAATTATCTAAATGGAAAAACAAAATTGTGATTTTTCTTGCGAAAGGAAAACACTTCTACAGATGACCAATACTAAAATCACTGATCGTTAAAAGCATAATACAAAGTTCACTACACATTAAGATGATGAGTCTTACACTTCGTGAAACACTGTGCAGCTCTCACTGTTCCCACTGGCCCAAACATGATCAGGACGTTAGCATGAACTATGCAATTCTTGATGGAGATCACATATCTTCCACAAAACAATAAACATGAAAAGTGACAGTAGATCTTCACCTTCCGATGACATAACCCTTTTTCTGTCTTATAATGGGGTTCCACTGTAATTTGCATGGTTTTTGTTAACAAATGTTCAAGCTGCATATTTGGTCAAACCCAATATTGTAACATTTGTATTTACTATTGTTCACATTTTTATAGGTTTATGAAGGTAGCAGCTCCAATCATTCACCATGTATATACCATCCTGGGGTACCTGTTTTTCATGAAGGGCTAAAATTCTGGTCATGTTGTCAGCGAAGAACTACAGACTTCAATAGTTTTCTTGAACAAGAAGGCTGTAAAACAGGAACGCATGTGTGGATTAAGGAAAAGGTGAGCTATTTTAAGTTAGGCACATATTTCCACAAACAATCACATTACCGTAATAGAAATGCAATTGTTTGTGGAAAGGCTCTGGCCTTACGGCCCTGCTCTTCTGCCTAACCACTTTAATGAATTTATTTTCATAATTACAATTACAATTAAGGTGTTTGGGCATAAATAATTATAACAGGCATTTCACAGTAAAATGCAATGATAGCATGAAACATGAAATGAGCTACACATCCCATAACTTAAGTTAATAATCATTGACATTCGTTCTCTGCTTAAAACCTCTTGAGATGAAGAGAGCCACTATCTCTCATTCATAAACAAGTCGATCTATATTTCACAAAATTTGGGAAGCAGCCACTTATACCAGAGTGCCTGAAATGTGAATAATTTTTGAAACAATACAGTTCTTTTATTGTTAATCCTATGTATATTTCTTTCTCGAATGAAAATTGATATACTTGTTCAATTATCTTCAACAACAAAGATTTTATTAATCATTGTCTTTCAGCAAGATGGAGATAAAAGTGTTGCATGTCGCTTCGATTGGCATCAGACAGCCACTCATGTCGTAGTATCTGTTTTTGCTAAAAAATATGACCCAAATGTTTCATCAGTTGAATTGAATCCAATACGCCTGAAAGTACATTTGTTTTTCCCTGAAGAGGATAGTTCTTTCGACCTTGATGTTGAGCTGCGAGGGGTTAGTCTATTTTCATTATTTATTTCATTTTGTTTTTATTTCCTCAGAATTATAAATGCTTCATTTTTCATGACTTATTGTAGATTGTGGATGTGGATCGCAGTTCAGCAAATATGTTGCAAACTAAACTAGAAGTAAAACTTCGTAAAGCAGAACCTGGTTCTTGGCCTAAGTTAGATTTTCCTCGAATAGCTTCTGCTACCCCACAGAAAGAAGAAAAAGTTGAAAAAGTTGAAGCAGACATTGAAGATGATTCTGTGGACTTAAGTGACCTGTAACAATTGTTGCTATTGTTTCTTTAATTTTACTTATAAATTGTCACCAGAGAATAGCATATTTAGCTAACATAAGTTAATCTGATTACAAGCAACTCAGCTTATGTAAAAATATCTATGAAAAAATGATTGTAAGCAATTGCACTGGCAAGAAGTTGAGAGTTTATTTGTAATTTGATTTGTTTGTAAGTGTTAGCATAAGTGATATTTTGAAGTAAAAAGTATCCACAAAATAAGCTTTTATTGTTGTTCCCTACCCCTCCATATCCTTTCATGACATTGGCATGATATCAGAATTTCAAATAAAAATAAAAATGAAAATGTAATCAATGAAAACAATTGCCAAACTAATTTTCTTTACTAAAATATGACAACTTGCCATGGCTGTTGTGAGCGGCATAGGCTACATATTTAGCTGACTTTCCATAAAGTACTTATTTTCAGTTGTCAGTTCAAATGGGGAAATTGCTTATGACCCTGTGTCCATTCAGAAAAAGCTCACCACCAGTTGAAAAGGGGGAGACTGCTTTTTGGGTTTCGGTGATGTGTTTCGCGACATTGTACAGGTGTGACGAACTTCACCCGACGTACAGCTATTTGTCACGGCAGATGGAGGTTACATTGAAACCAGCTTCAAAGAAATTGTCGTTTGCACGTTTTCAAAAGCGCGCTTAATAAACCCCAATTGTTATAGCGGCTAAACACGAAAGACGATATATACTCTCTGCGAAAGACTTTGGTTCGCAGAAGTCGAACTGCTAGGTAACTATAACGTGTAAACCCGTTGTGGTCGACTTCATTGGCATTGTCTTTGCTTATCGAGATGAAAATTATTGACACGTACGCATTGCGTATAGATATCCACGTGTGGCATCACTGATAACCCATTGATGTGTCGCTTGGCGTTGCTGCTGTGTTCCGGGCACGGGCTGCTACGGATTCTTGACTTGTGCGGGTAGCAAGGCCAGGAAGATGAAGTCGTACTTTCAGGGAATAGTATTTTTATTTGTTATTGCAGTATCCTTCGGAGCAACTAAAGATGAGAGCTGTCATACGTATGCTGGGGGCAGCGTTTTCCCTCAAGAGGTAGGAACAACTGTTGATCACAAATTACAATGGACACAAGCAGTCAGTAAGTACCGGTGCGAAGCCCCCATGCGTTTTCTTTTTCAAAGTTTGAAACTTTGATTATTTAATGTTTTTAACTTACTGTTTAATGAAGTAAAAATGTATTTTTAATTTCCTTACAGTTTCCAAACCTGCCCCTTTTTGGGAAGGCACCGCCGTTGTAAACGGCGAGTTCAAGGAATTGAAATTGACTGACTACTTAGGAAAATATTTGGTTTTCTTCTTCTACCCACTGGATTTGTAAGTATATGTGGTTATACTTGACATTTTTATCTGCACTTGTTTCATACGAGAGTATGTGTGACATTTCAACGAGTTCGAATTAGATGAAATATAGTTTGGTTTGGATAAGTTTAATGTCATATTAGTTCATTATAGTATGTTGACTTTGGTTCAAAATTAGGTTCGCCATAAAATTTATCTCACAATCATTTAATTACTCTTCAAATCTTTTTATATTATAAAGATAATTATTATTTTATATTTATATTATTGTTTCAGCACATTTGTGTGCCCCACGGAGATACTGGCTTTCAATGATAGAATTGAAGATTTTCAACGTTTGAATGCAGAAGTTGTGGCATGTTCTGTTGATTCAGCATATACACATTTAGCATGGATGAATTTACCTAGAAAAGAAGGTGGATTGGGTAGATTGAAATATCCTGTTCTGTCTGACCTGACTCACAAAATTTCTAGAGCATATGGAGTGTATCTTGAAGATGTTGGCCATGCATTGAGGTGAGTAATTTACTACCTATGCCTTACTAACCTTCCCACTACCTTACCTTACCTTACCTCACCGTACCTTACCTACTACCTTACTAACCTTCCCAAGTCTTATAATATTTAATTCGCAATCATAGACATTAATGTGTGTTATTTAAAGCCTGTGGGTGAGTTGCTTATTAAAACTGTGTGAAAATGATAAATGCAGTTGTTTATTGTTAATGAGATGTAATGATCAGTTTTCTGAGAAGTGCGTTTATTATTTATGTAATTCCAAAAGAGATTTAAAAAAAAATTTTTTTGTGACAAAATTTAAAACATTTAATCTGTAATATTGACATAAAGCTCAGAGGGCTGAATTATAAATATTTTTTATCATGACAGTAGGTCAGATAGCATTTTTTAAAATTATTTTTTACTATACATGCACATTTACCTTGTAACAACATTTTTTCCATTGATACTAATTCCCTAATTCCTTTCTACAACTTTCCATATTCGTTCAATAATGCTGTTCTTTTAAGTGTAATTTGTAATTAAATAAGTTTTTCGAATGCTTATTATTTTGTTACAACTAACAAGGCAAAATTTTGTTGTTTTGTGGAAAATTATTCAAATGATACAAATTTGTTATTTTTGTTGAACTTTTTCATTAAAAGGTTAATAGAAGTTAATGGTATTATAAATATTAATTTATATATATATTTGCAAAAGTGGGTAATAATATTGCATTTTCTCTGCCTATGCCAGTCCTTGTGCGTCTAAGAATCGCAGCATTTCTTTTCTTTTTAATCCTGTCAAAAATAGTGCCTGCTGTTAAAGGTTTGAAGTAGAGGTATGAATCAAGTTTAAGTATTTTGAGATTTGTTGAGGTTTTGTAAATCAGGACCCTTAGAAGATTAAAGAAACTGTGCTGAACTGTGAATATTATGTACCTTCTAAATAAAGTAACAAAATTGGTAAATAATAAAGAAATAGAAAGGGTTGTGTTCAAATTATTAGAGTGAAAGTTTCATACACCTATCTCTAATTTGTCACTTCATAAATATTTCCAAAAATTTCACAAAATGGCCAGGATTCTGAAATTAACTTTGTGTGAAGGCTCAGGTTTGAAAGTATTAAAGTCTTACTTGACATCAATGTACCGATTTGTGTTACTACTCTGTAAATCTTTTTTATACTTATTCAAACAGGTTCATTAAAAATTTAAGTTTCACAGACTACTATTCCCATAATCTGAAGACTTCTTTTGACACTCAAATACACAGAATATAAAGAAACAAGGAATCATTTGGAATTCAATAAAAAGTAAATAAGCGTTGGTGAAACTAATGACATTTGTTTCAGAGGCCTCTTTATTATTGATAAGAAAGGGATCTTGCGGCAAATTACCATGAATGACTTGCCAGTGGGTCGTAGTGTTGATGAAGCTCTGAGATTGGTGCAGGCTTTCCAGTATACTGATCAGCATGGTGAAGTGTGTCCTGCTGGATGGAAGCCTGGTCAAGACACGGTTAGTGAGCAAAATCTTCTGTTTTTGTTGTTTTATGTTTGGTTTGGTTTTTGTAGGTTATTTGAAAAGAGTAAGTGATGACAGAGACATTTTAATAATGTTTCAGATCGTTCCTGATCCAGTTTTGAAGAAAGAATTTTTTAGCAAAGCTTATAAGACTGAGTTCTGAAAGTGATAAGACGGAAGATCCAAACTGTTTTTACATGACCAGAGGTGCATTTATTGGTAAACAATTTTATCACCTGCTCAATACAGAATTTAATGACATCGGTGCAATAAGAATGATTCTTATGTAGTGTTTTGTATCAAAATCTTTTTTATTTATTGAAGACTTGATAGTTTGTACCTGGGTGTGACATGACTTTTGTGAAGCACACAAGAATGATAAGTTACATCACATAGTTATAAGTATTTAAATTTGGTATGGTGTGTGTTAATAAATTGAAGCACACATATTTGTGCAAACACTTACAGTATTTGTGCAATGTTACTTTATTGCAAGACTGAATGGTGTATTGAACTTTGACATTTTGTGCAATTATCTTTTTGTAACATTTATTGAAAAAAAAATTGTGCTGTCAATAAAAGTTTACCTCTGTAATTTAAATTTTGATTTATCTGTAAGATGAAGCAGACCTCATTAAAAATTTCCAAGAAGATTTGTTACTGTGTTCCCTATTTAGAACTAATAAGATGACCAGATTTATGAGAAATGCTATGCATTTGATATTTCACAGAAATATTTGTGGATGTATATGCATAAAATAAATTAACATACTACTTAATCATAAAATAATTAGGATTGTTTTCCAAGTGTCTCACCGATGCCAGAAAGGTTTTCATTAAAAGTTATTTATGGTACCAGTCCTTTAAATGCATTTTTAGGACAAGGCTGGAAGATTAACTAGGCATTGTGAATGTGAAATAGAGTAGTAACTGGCCAAGGCTTTAAATACTTAAAAGGATATGCGACACAAAATGTTTTGTTATTGTAAAATAAGTTAGTAATGAGTAGATTAGTGAGATAATTAATAAGAAAATTATTTACAGAAATGGCAGGGAATCCAAAAACAAATATGCTTGATTAATTAGTAATTCTGGACCTGTCAATGTCTGTAAGTGTAGTCCACGTTTTATTGCGGAAGGTGGTGGTAATCCTCTCTCGTCTCCCACAGTGTGATGAGATCTGTTGCCAACTTCCATCGCCTTGTGGTCCCCAACCAAGTATCTCTGGCCAGCGGGGCACCGCCCCAGCCAGGACAAACTCTTAAGTTTCCAACTGGTCTCCTAACAAGTGATGATAGCACATTGCATGTAAGGAAGGAAAAATCGTGTGTAGTCTTTGGCCCATTTGTTAGGGGTACTGTTCTGACATTTTCCGGGTGTTGATCATAGAAACCACAGAAAACTACTAATCAGTGCAGCCAGTTGCTAGAATTCTAGCCCAGACAGCAGCTGAATTCAGCATGACTCTAGCTAGTATCAAAAATCCTACCATCATTGGGAACAGCAGTGACAACAGTGGATGCCCTGAGCCACCTTTATCAATGCAATTATGCTAGGAAACTATATTTTCATGTCAGATGATATTCTAAAGTCAGAATCTCAATTTCCACTGCTTGTATTCGATAACTCCCAAGGCTAGTGCTACTTATTTTATATAAAGGTGTACATGAAGTTTTTGTGTTATTAAACAATGATTGACGGTGGTGAAAACGTTCAGTATGTAGTCCTATTTTAATATGCTATATGAAAATATTAAAATGTCTGTGCAAGTTAAAAAAAATTCTTATTTTAATAATATTGTAAGATCTTAGCAATTTCAAAAGTTTAATATCTTTAAACCAAAACAGGACTTTTTATATCATGTTCTTAATTATTTAAGAGGATGCTGTTCCTTCACATCAAGCCATCGCTTCAATGCTTCAATGGTAAAATTTGAACCTTAACCCCCTGACACTTAACAATTTTAATGGCCATCGCTAAGGCCTCCGTGATCATTGTTGTATTGTTGCAATGAATCTGCGTGAATATTTACACGAATAACAAAAAGGTTGTTTTTTTCTTTGATTTTGTTCATTAAGCATTTAGTTTTATTAAGTATTGTGGATTTGATTTATTAAATTACACTCCTTGAGTATTAATTCTATTTACCTTTCATGCACCACATAACACACTTCAAGGTGAGTTTCTTTCTCTAAAACTTAAGAATGTACAGATTTATAAATCTAGAAATAAATTTAAAATTGTAGGATCTACAATAAAGACGTGATTGAGCCAATTCGGGCCTCATTTTAAAGTTCAGTGGGAAGATAATGGCCTTTTCAAGTTTAATAGCATGATCTCCCACTTTTTTTGTATATGTAGTTTTGAAAAAGTATGCAAAAATCAATGTCGATATTTTTTGCTAAAAATGCACATTTTGAGGATCCCTGACACTGGAAAGATAATTTTTTTCTTGCTCCTGTATGTTGTAACGTATATGCAGTTTAGATGGATTTCATGTTCTGTGGGTAATTGATACCAACAAATTGGTAGATTCCTCTCAACTACAGTAGCATTTAAACTGAACAAAGATTTTCATCAAAATTGGTATTTCCAGTTTATTTTATATAAATTTTGTAACAATACATGAAGCAATTTTATGCATTTTTGTTTTTATTCGAACATTATAATGTAAAAAGTCTTACCTGAAAAAGTGTATCCTCAAAACAGGTAAATTGTTCTCACCAAAGTTAAATTTTAAAAATGTACATTAAAACTTATAACATGATACATACATGTTCGATAATAAGTACTAATTATTTTTTCATTTTTAATTTTCTACAATGTTGGAATTATTTTGCAATATGGGTAGGCAGGGCAGTCAGAGCCATTATATACTGAATAATATTGCGGGTGACCCACCTTTAAGAGTAGGCAAAAATGGGGCTTTTTGTAGATTTTCGATAATGGCAATTATAGTCTGAATACTTAGCAGTAAAAAGTTTACAATAAGCGAGCTCATTCAGCCAATGACAAGTAATTGCGATCGTAGCGACAAATGTTCGGAAACAAATCGAAAAAATTAAAACCAAGCACCCATGGGGTAGAATCCACCCCAGCCAAAGATATATGCGGATATATGGTGTGTAAAACCCAATGATAAACAGTGTTGCCTCGTAGAATATCAATAAAATTGGGTGTCCACGTAGCACGAATGCAGACAGGAAGGTTCCGGACGGGGAGGAGCGAAACAAAATTATTATAATAATAATATTGCTTGGGATGTATTGCATCCCAACGCGTGTGTCAATACAAATTGCGTTTTCAGGTCACGGGAAATGTATTTCAAACGTTATCTAACTATTGGAGATTACCAAACCCACTTCAAGAGATGTTGGTCTGGTGCTTCTTCTGTCATTGACAGGCTTGCGTGTTTCCACTACCATATCGTTCACGTAGGTCCATTATCTGGAATAACTATGACAGGTGTTGCCTTGAACTTCGCACACAATATTGATAAGGTATAATACTGCATAGTTTAATGATATTGTGATGGAATGTTTTACGAATAATCGGAAACCTTTGGAAAAATAATTTAAATATGTATTCAATGTAAATGTAATGTAAAATTAGATCAGATTCAAGTCAATAAAAGTATAACTGTAAGTGAAGTATTACGTGAGAACAAGTACTCATATCACGGGTCAATGTCAACTTCCTTGGCCTTCTGTAATCCGTCACGCACGCTAGCGGCACAATGCGGTCGGGGCTTTTGCACGTGCGCTCTTTCATCGGCTTAGTCAACCCAGTGCTGAACCCGTTGGTTGTACAGAGTGAATTTGGCCGCATTTTTCAACTTTTGAAGTGTCCGATGGCTACATATTCTGTAGAAGAGAGGGGTGCCCCCAACTCTACTGAATATAGAGTATATTTACGTGAGTTTATTTAATTGAATGTTGTTTATTTCGTGAAAGAAAATTTCTCAAACCATATGCTCGATTGATCGTGTATTGCTATTTAAGGGACAAGACAAGGCTTATCTTTATGAGTACCGGAATATTGCATAATTACTATCCTAAATAGAGTAGCCTTGTGTACTCTTGTTTTAATCCAAAGTTTATTATAGTGTCCTTGAGGTTATTAGCACACTCGTGGCCAAATACCATAATGCGTTTTAAATAACATAGACGAATATATAATTGCTTAATTTAGGTTTGTTTTGTGAGTCAAAATGTTATTACTGAAAGCTTAAAACTACTTCCTTCAATTATTATTATTATTAATTCTTCCTGAAAGTTATTTTATCTATACTGTCATAATTTTTTATCACTATAATTGAGAGTACTGTAACGGTTGTAACAAGTTTACTTCTTTGAAGTGGTTTATCTTTTTGCTGTGGCTATTCAGAAGTAACATATTTGATTTAATCAAAAAACATATCTTTCTTTCTGATCTTTTCCATGTTAATTATTACCATTGCTACAAATATTTTGCTATCAACATTTTGATTTGGCTGCTCTTCTGTCTTGCATTAAGTAAAGTAAAAACTGCAAATTTATTGCAAACACATTCACATTGATAAGATCTTTATTAATCATTCCATTACATGTCTTAAATATTCAGCAAATCTAGACCTTATTAACAACTTTCTAATAAGAAACATCTTGTTGCTGATTGACATTTGCACAGGTGATGTTCTCTTTTCTTTTCGACTAGAAACAAGTTAATTTATTTTCTAAAATGACAATGTGAGCAATTATCTCTTTACTAATAACTGCTTCTTAGTTTAGAGGTACTTGATTTAACTAATAAATATCGAAAAGTACCAACATCCTTTCTGAGGTGGTCGTTGGGTAATTTATACAAACACTTTTCATACTCCTAAATAAAATTTAATGCAATAATTTTAATTGTGTAAATTGGTATTTTCTTAATTTTGGCTTTTTAGAAGGAGAGAACTTTTGGATTGTGGTTTTTAAGGTTGTGTTCTCAAAAATATTAAACAAGATAGTTTGAAGAGAAGTTTTTTAGGACTTATGAAAATTGTTTAAGTAATTTACTTCATTAGGAAATGAATCGGGACCAATTTCTCCTTTACATGACATCCCACTACTTGCCGATTCTTGCAAGAAAATATTCAACATGGTTGTTGAGATACCACGGTGGACAAATGCTAAAATGGAGGTACTAAATTTTTTCACTTTTGTGTGAAGGATGCTTCCTTCTTTTAATATATAATTTACACCTATGTTTGATTGAATCATTGTATTATTTCTTATAATGATTTTTGTTTTTGAAGATAAATTTGAAAGAAGTATTAAATCCAATTAAGCAAGATGTTAAAAAGGGAAAATTGAGGTATGTAGCTAACTGCTTCCCTCACCATGGCTACATTTGGAATTATGGAGCATTTCCTCAGGTAATTTTAGAAATGAAAAGTTGCAGTGAAAGCTCTGAAAAAGTATGTTTCATAACCTGTTTCACTTGCTTGTAATCATTTGATTTTTAGACTTGGGAAAACCCTGATGTTTTAGATGAAGCAACAGGTTGTAAAGGAGACAATGATCCAGTTGATGTTTTAGAAATTGGATACAGGGTATGTAATCTTCTGGAGGGATGTCTTGTACTTGTGGTATTTGTTATTTTGTGTTAAAGTCTGGATTTGCAGGTTGCAAAAAGAGGTGAAGTGATAAAAGTGAAAGTTCTTGGAGCCGTTGCCCTAATAGATGAAGGTAATTACCTCTAATTACTTCCAATTTATTTTAAGAGGGTGAAAACTGAAAGACTTACCTTCATAATTCTGTACTTTCGAGGTAAGGGGCACTATGTCATATTCCCTTTTAATTAAATTGATGTTGCTATGACTGGTTCCAACTTCGTTTTTAAGGCATTTTGGACAAAGTTGTCAATGCCTTCATGAAGATTAATGAAAGTGGAACAAGTGTGTGAGGGGGCAAAATATGGACTAATTGCCCTTACCTTGGGGGTTCCAAATTATAATTCAAATCCTAGGGAAGCTGTGAAAAGCTTCTTTTTCTTTACTGTTGGACAATGTTTTAAAGGTGGAGGAATTATTCAAGAATTAAGACCACTTCAAATGGAAATAAGATTTCATCATATTTTCTTAAAAATCAAGCAGTAGCAGTATTGTAACAGTATCTATGACATATCTTCCTGTGCCTTTTCAATTTTTGGATTGTAAAATGTAGGCATTTGTGTATAAAAATCATAAATATTGCTATTATTATTATTATTATTATTATTATTATTATTATTACTATTATTATTCTTCTTATTGAGTCACATACACATCAATCCTGTTGGATCAGTCAAGTAAATATTTTTTGGTTGAATATAAAAACTTCTTAATTGATACATTTACTACATTAAGAATCTAGCTTGCTTTTGAAAGTGGAGAGACAATATTTATTATGTATTTATTTTATGTAAAGTTGATAAGGAAGTGATTACATAGTACAATAACAAGAAATCTACACTTTGTAGAGCACAGTAGTTTTGGAATTTTAAGTTCAGATAGTGTAATTTGGAATGCGTGGCAGTACTACAATTAAGATGGTTGTTGTGATTATTGTTGCTGTTTGCTTGGAGAGTTCCATTTACATTTATGTAATTACATTTGTGTAATGTTTTAGGTGAGACTGATTGGAAGATAATTACCATTGATGTGAATGATCCTTTAGCTGAACAAATGAAAGGTAATGATGTTATTTTTTTATGAATTAGTATTTGCTGACTTTCTTTCTTTTTCTTCTTCTTCTTCTTTCTTTCTTTCTTTCTTTCTTTCTTTCATTCTCTCTCTTTTTTTTTTTTTTAACTTAAGTGACATGAGTTAGAGGAGCAAAGCACTACAAATTTTGTTAAACTGTGATAAGAATTTTTCTAACCTAAAACTTTTGAGTAATCTGAAAGCTTTGAACATTGATTTCAGACATAGCAGATGTGGAAAAGCACTACCCAGGGTTGCTCAAAGCTACAATTGAATGGTTTAAAGTGTATAAGATTCCAGATGGAAAGCCAGAAAATCAATTTGCATTCAATGGTGAAGCAAAGAACAGAGAATTTGCTCATAAAGTCGTTGATGAAGTTCACAAATTTTGGCAGTCACTTGTGAAGAAAGAATCTGAAGCCGGTGGTATTTCATGGTAAGAAAATATAAATTCATTTTTCATTAGATCACAACAATTTATATTAATAGCTGGGACAGCATCAAAATTACAAAGTACAACAAAAATGTAATATTGGTGCCATGAATTGGAGCAAAAATTTTGTGAATTTAAATCGTGAGATATTTTCTGTGGTACAGTATGCCAGTACATAAGGGTGATGCTGGCAAGGGGTAATGTTCCCCCTTCCTCTCCCCAGTTGTTTCAAGTACATCTGATAGTTGATTCTATTTTTTATCCTTCTGTTTCCTATTCAACCAACAGTGAATGAATAAACAACTGGAAATAGTATCACTATTACTCTCCTTTGTGTTCAGGGACATTTACAAAATAGTGTGAATGTTGGCCACATTGCCAATTCAAACAAATAAAATTTTTATATTTAGACAAAAGGGGAAAAATTGTACAACAAAGTGAAATGAAAGTAATAATAAGGTGGTGGACTCTTTGAGCCCCTCTTTCATATTTTTAGGGTTAAGACTGCAATGGTAACTTGGTTTACACATACTTATTTTGCCACCCTTCTTTAGTTAAGTCTGTAATATATGTGGGGAAGGAATATTACAAAGATGCTTCCAAACTGACAGATAGATGTAGGAATTCCCTCCATGCCTTAACTTTTGTCTCTTGACAAAGTGGGCTAATAAGCAAAAGGTTTGCCTCTACCAATGCTTGAAGCGCTGATACCATGATCTTCATGCATGCCCCCATGCATGTCAGAGTGTATTATTGAACTCACGAATTTTTTGGTATGCTGTGTGCTCTTTGTTATCTTCACAATTCAATAAAAATATTGCTGTAGTTTTAGTTAAAATTCCATGTAGGTTCAAGTACTTTTGATGTCAACCCTCCCCCACATTTTGTATGCCAAGAGCCTTGCCGGTCCATTTGGAAAATTGGAAAATAATTATTGTTGCTTTAGTTTTTTGAAGCAGTGTTTGAAACTTGAAGTTTTTTCCTTGAGAAAAAGAAAGTTCAATTAAAATTTAGAGGTAATGTGAAATCAAACTCAAATCAGTGACTTTTGGTATTAGAATGACAAATTTCCCACATGCCCTCTTTTTCCCCCTCTTACTTTTTTTCTTTTTTCTTGACATGTTGCATAAGAAATAATGGAATTTTAAAAGTAATTGAAACTTCTAAATTTTAGTGCCAATGTCACTGTTCAAGACAGTCCATTCAAAATTGATTACAAAGATGCAGAAGATATTGTTTCTAAAAGTCCTGCTTTGGAAGAAGCTAAGCCAACGGATCCTACAGGTATATCTTTCAAATAAAATATAAAATAATTATTATGAGCATGTGTGAATGTATATATCTATGTTATGCATGCACCTTGCTCTTCTAATAGCAAGGAATTAGTGATACTTACTCTTGTAGTGATATTTTCACCTCTGTTGTATTACTTTCTATTCTTTTCTGTATTTTGGGGTTGTCCATAAATAAGTAATGCTAAAGAGGAGAGAGAGAGGTTTGAGATAGCTGTGCGGACACTAGGTTGGTATAACACAGGCAGTCGTGGCCCAGCACAGCAATATTTTTGTGGATTGCGTACACTAGGCTGGGGCAACAGGGACGGATGGGTTGTAAGGGACACTTCACACGGTTTCTGAGTCAGTATTTCTCCTCGCTTCATATGTTGTATTCTGCGTGAAGGCTTCATAATTTAAGTAAAGTAGCAATTGAATCATGTTCATTTTAAATGGAGGAAGAAGAAAATGGGGCAAGATGTCGAAATCAATATTCACTTCTAAACAGAACGAGAATGACAAGGGGGAATTTCATATATTACATCCCGACCTAGTGGAAGAAGATAATATATTTCAGTATTTGAATATTTCAGTTGTCGCATGGTAAATTTGAAGTTAAATTGGATGTTTTGAAAAATAAACATAAATAAATATTTTGGTAAATATTGTAATCGTATACTATAATTAAATTTTACCAAGAGACAGAATCATAATTACATTAACTTTCTTAGAAACTTAAGAAAATAATTGGCATATTGAAAACACAATACTTTTCGCAAACCAGGCAAACACAAATATTTTGTTAATTAATGAACAGAGTTTCATTCCAAAATATGGCATAATTTATTCACTGCACAAATATGCCAAGTTTCTGTAATACCGCAGAGCTTCTTATACCTAGTTTTTTGAATTTGGCAGATATTACTCTTTGATTCAGATAGTTTAGCTAACTAGTGAAATTACACTTCCTAACAAGGAAATTCATCAAATAAAAGTTAGTATCAAGTTGCACATTTTGAGATAATTCTGGATTAACATTATTAAATTGGATGCATACACGATCGCTTCATACACTTAAAGTAACCTCATAAGTGAAACTGAGGAAATGCTATTCCAACAGTACTGATGACATTTGCTGAAATAATTTTTTTGTTTTGTCTTCTAGTAAAACATTAACTAGTTAAATTATTAAAAAGTAAATAAGTTAAAAAGTTGGTTTATTATTAATAGTTAAGGAAGAAAATATTTAGAACAGGAATATATTTTACAATCCAATTAAATAAGTGCAGTAAACTTGCCCATGTGTCATTTCATGACAGCATGTGCACATCTTGTCAGAAATATTCATGTCTACATGTCCTTCATTAATTCAGAAATTGTCCCGTCTTATTGTTAGGTGCAGACAGCTTCTCCAACTAATTCCGACTTTAATTATCATAAATTTTAATGTACAACACAAATTATTATTTCAAAAATTGATACAAATATTTTTACAGAAATATAATTTATATTTACATCTTATAAATGGGTGGGGAGAGGTCGCAAGCATTACATAATTATTTAAGAGGATTCAAGCTCATGTTCCTGGAGGGGGGGGAAGGGTTTTCAAAATTACTACAAATTTGTGTTACATAATTTATGGATGGCTCCTTTGGAATTTTGTGAAATTGTCTCCTACTTTCATGTGATGGGTGCTCACTTCACTATGCTCTCAAATGCTGCCCAAGAATATTTACGTTATATATCCTTTTATTTTCAGTTGACCGATCTTATTATGTTCCAATACTGAAGAAGAAGATGAAATTATAATTTCTTTCAAATAATGTTCTTTTTCTAAATCGGTATTAGTTAACAAAATTAATATTTCTTTATAGAATACTGTGTATGTTAAGTTGGATAATGCATAGCTTTGGCTTGTTTAATTTGACATTTTGTACACTTTTCGGAATAATGAAATTGTAATTTCTGCTGAAAGTTCCATTAATGTGGAATAAAGTATTACTTTATGCCTTGTAGCAGGTAGATTTATTTTTATGTGGACTTGCTAATTAATTGCATGTTACTTCATTTTCCAGTTGACAAGTGGCATTATATTCGCCGAAGTTTTCCAAATTCCTATTATGAGTAGATTATGTAACTTAGGAAATTTGTAAACCTACTTAATTTCAACAAAATATTCTACTATTTCTAGTGTATTGATAAAAAATGGTCCATAATTTTAGAAGATGTATCAATTTTTGATAATTGAACTCCATTATGGTAGCTTTTCGTAGAACCTTTAATAGATCTCTTTTTCTTGTTCTTATAATTTGTAATGAAATAGGATGGGGGCTTAGATATTCGAGTCATTGTTTTTCAATTAAACATTTGTCTTTGATGAGTTTCCAAGGGACTTGGAAGCAATTAATTCCAATATTTACATTTTGTAATGCATGAAGTATATCCATCAGTAATTGTATTTTTAGTATAACTGCATGGCAGCATGGCAATGAAGTTTGTTTTGTAAACTCGCCTATTTATTTACTTTGTCAATATATTTCTTGTATGATGTATTATCACTTCATTCATTTAAATGTGGTTTTTAAATTAACTATGTTTATTCATTTTCCAGTTGTTGACAAGTGGCATTATGTACATTTGAAGTGAGAAATGCTAGTATTAGTTGGGACCAATGGAACATGAAAGTATGCACAGAAATAATTTTTTTATCATTCTCTGGCATTTTTTTTGTGCCTTTTGGTGAAATGAAATGTGGTCCTCCAAATATCAATTGAAGAATTTGATGGACATTCCCTCCAAAATTATACTATGCTGTAGATAATTGTCCTTAAATTATGTGAATTAAAACCCAGTGAAATGATCAAATCGTATTAGTATAATGTTGCATGAATAATGGTGGTTTCATTACCCTTATCTCCATTTTTTCCTGAATTTCCTAAACAGAGAAATCCATCACATTAATTGCATAGTTACTGTAGTTACTTAGATAATCAGAAATCAACTAATCAGACTTAAGGAAGAATTTTCAATTGGAACTCAAATTTTCAATTAGATATTCCTCACTACTGAGTTTTTTCTTGTGCTAACATACTACATAATATTTCGCTTCCTCCTGCGGTCTTTATCTTGGGAGGCTTCTGATGTTCTTCATACACCAGTGATGGCTTTCTTGCCTGGAAAGCATAGAGTTTCCTCTTCTACTTCCCTTCAATAACCCATTGCATTCAATTCTTGGAATCTTAAGTCTTCTCCATTTGACAAACATATCATATTAACTATTGTCTTTCAATCAGATGCACTAGGTTTCCTTCTGCTTCCTTGATCCTCCACATCCTGGCATTCCTGATTTATTTCTCATAATTGTGTGGCAGATCTTCTCCAGAAGTTCGTTCCTTTGTCAGTTGTTCTATCCGAAGAATAACTTTTGTAGTTTCAAGTTGCCATTTCCTAAAAGATCACTCTCATGAGAATTGATTTATAAATTATCCTTTTCATTCTGTGAATGACTATTACAAAGTAAAAAATTTATCACACCAATTACTTCTGTACTTTTGCTTACTCATTATTTCCATCTCTGAAGTCATCTAGTACAAATAGTGTGAGATTCAAAACCCATTATGAAAACTGGTCAGTTTTCATAACCCATCTAAGAAGAAGAAAAAAAGGAAGGGGGAAAAATGAAAGAGTTATTGAAAACGTAAGACCAAATAAGACTGACACATTTCAACATAAGTAGAAGATTATATTGCTTTATATATACACACATATACACACACATACATGTAATATACATAATAATATATATATACACAGAGTAATAAACACTGTATAGGGAAAGTTATTATTACTAATAGTTTTGTCGGTCCATGATGTAATTATAGTGTATTTTTCTTGCTTTTAAATTTAGTAAATTACTGTCTATTTTGGAGTGTAGTCAGAATCCATATTTTGTGGGGTCTCTACAAATGAATGGATTTTCAGCAAAATTTCTGTCCTACAGTCTATGAACAACAGTAGTGTATAAACTAGGGGTGTATAATAAGACCTCAAGGGCCACAACTAAAACCTTTAATATGGTTGCTGACCATATTTTCATTACTCAGGCGGTCTACACTGGATCCCAAATTGTTGATCTCTTCAGTTTGCCCTACAGCTCTGAAAAGAGGAGGGGAGTAAGGTAATGAATCACGAGTGATATCAGGCCCTGCCAAGGATAACGCAGTGAAACATTGGGATGATTTTGAATTTACTTGGAAAATTTTCTTAGAACTAAACTTAATCTTTTTTGCATTAAGGGGATGTTGGCCCCAACAGGGAATGCGCACTAGGCGCACAATGTTCTCGCCCAACATTTATGCAAGGAACTTTCCCTTTGGACTGATAACTTTTCGCGGACCACTATAAATGGCACTGCGGACTGCCAGTTGGACAACCCTGGTATAAACCATTCATATGTTTATTCCCAAAATTAATATTGCTAGATTGTGGCCCCGCAATTTTTAAAAGACTTCTTTAAATGTTGGGACTTTTCAACTTTTTCTCAAAAATGACTCCAAATTTTTCTTTCTTTTTTTTTTTTTTTCAGTTTGTTGCTAGAATAGAGTGAAATACTCTTAAAAGAGAACACAGGTCACATTTTACCTTTTTCTCCTGAAGTTTTGAAAATTACAAAAGTAAACTTTTTTTTTTATCACTCGTACAGTAAATAGTTGTTTTTTTTAATATTCAGTTTTAGAGGTTCTTTCCTTTCTTTCTTCAAAAAAGGGAAAAAAATTGTTTGATATTCAGTTTATCGATAATTGTCATATCTTGTTAGAGACGATTGTCACCAGCCTTTGTATCTCACAAAGTTTATTTTAAGTTACTTTTATGTCCATATAGTCAATAAATAGATAAATATGTATTTTTTCCCAATCAAATACATTTTTAAAATTAGATTTTAAATTAATGTGCTTAATAAATAAATGTTTTTTAAAAAGTACACTGAAACCTTTTCACACAGACTTCTTGATTAAGCGAACACTTTTTTTTATGGAACTGATTAATTATAAGGCATGTGTCAATATTCCTTGTTGGCCCACGGCATGGCACATTTTGTAGTTGACTTTCGTAAGCAGCCCCCTCAAGTGATTTTGAACTGTATTACAAGAAGCAGAATATTGGTGGAGGTTAGTTTTGATTTAATAACTTCCTGCAATTGAACTCATCGTCAGGTTACTTTGAACAGTGACATTCCGAATTGCTTATCTTGCACGAGTATTAATTTTTGTTTTGAAGTATCACTATTTCATTAACAATGACAACAAAATTTCAGAAAAATATCTTGATTTTTATATTTAGTAATGAAACCGTGTGCACTTTCTTCATTTCACAAAATTTGTAGGGTTTGCTAACGCGTGCTTCCCTTCTGTGGGAACTTGTTAAGGGCTCATGGAGCACGCCACATGTGCAAATCTGATCTGAATGTCATTTGCTAACTCCCTCTGACTGTAGGTACTGCAAAATATCTGGTTTTGAATTGCATTTTCAGTCTAGTTTGCTGGTTCGATTCTGTGAGGATGGAGAGTGGGTGTCTTGACTAGAATGAGTGACAAGTGTAGGGTGTGTTGTAATATTAGCTGTGATAATTCAAGTGATTCTAAATACTGTGATTAAATCGTATTTTGTCATTTATTGTGATAAAAATGTTAAAGATAACATACTAATTAATTTCATAGCAATTGGTTCAATTTTGTGAAATATTCGCTTCACCCTTTAAGCACCATTGGGTACGTTGACGACTCCAGTCAATTGGAAATTTTATGGAAATTCATTAAAAGCCTGAGCAAATTTAATTGTGGCTCGATGAATTTTTTTATAGATATTTTCAATTTCTTTGATTACATTTATTTATGCCTTACTTCATGTAATGATTCCTAAAAAATGTGTTCGGGTCATTACGAGACCCCTTGGTATTTTCTGTATCTCTTTTCCAAATAAAATGCTTAGTTTTATTTCATAATATTGTGCTTTTAACAAGCGTAAACTCCATTTGATTCTTTTCATGTTGATCAACTGATGCCAACTAAAAGGATTTTTAAGTTCCAGACGGAAAAATATTGTCAAAACATGAAATTGGAAATAGGAGCTCAATCGGACCCCTTGGTATTTTACGTTCCATCGAGACCGTGGTACTCGGAGGGTTAAAGCAGATATCACTGTAGTTTTCACATAATTTTGAGTGAAAAGGCAATTTAAAAAATGTAGAGAAGATTTTTCAAAAACGGTTCCAATTTTATTTAAACTCTTTGTATGGAGAGAGCTAAAAACAATCATTTAGCCTAAGCACCATTTTGAACAAAACCTTTTTGTATTTTCAAAAACTATGCGTCTGTAAACTGATTGAAATACTTTTTCACATTGTTAATATGTACTTAACAGGCCCATTTCGCAATTTAATGCATTTCCAAAACCAAGTACTTCAAACGAGATCATTAAGTTACTCAAAATCCCAAAAGGTAGCTGAGCTCAAAATTGCTCATTTTCAGAAACTATTAAATGAGTTTCACAAGAATGCCTCTAAATTTTCTAATGAAAATTTCCATTCACCAAGGGGTTTTGTTTTTTTATGATATTTTCCAAAATCGCATTTCCTTTGAACTACTATGGGATAAAAAAAATCGAGAAGGGGGAAGTGTGTTTTTTTAAATATAAAAACAATTCCCTCTATATAAATATATGAAAGTATACTGAACAATTGTGGCTTGACATTCGTGATATGACCCCATGGAACAGGCAGGCCCAAGCAAGAGGAACATTTAAACTGACCCGCGTATGTAATAAATTTTTAGTTGTATTTGCAGCGTGGGGGCATTTCCAGATGCTCATTTATTACATCAATCAATTCTCATATCCTTCTGTCACGAGTCATGGGATCGCTTCTCGCCTCAGCCTTAGCTTCTCGTGTAGTCCATGGTATACTGCACCCAGAGTGAACTCAAACGAAATTAAAATGTGTCACAACGGCAATATAAACAAACATCCATCCATCCCTAAAGTAAGAGCTGTTTCTCGTGCACCGTTCAGCAAACAAGTCATCCTTACCACAGGATGTGCAAGAGGGAATGGTTTGTAATGAGAACGCGCGTATAGGCTGAAATTGTCGTCCATGTACCACTAGACACGTCATATATGCAGCTGACCCCCTAAACTCGCTCACTTGACTCGAGACACTGGGAGGTGTGACCTGACCACTGCCTGTCAACCCCGAGCCCGTTTACTTGGAGTAGCATACCAGGGGTGTTGCAAAAGTCCTCCATTTAATGTAAGGGCATCGCACTATTCATTATTATCCATTGATAATCAAGCCTGTGTATTTAAGATGGAAGTCCGTGTTTGGTGTTGCCAAGGAGAGAGCATCAACCCCTCTGTTTGTACAAGTACATTTCCATCCTCGCATTTCCCAAACGAGTTTTGTGTAATTTCTCTCGTATTCCTTTTCATAAATAATTATGAGATACTTCAATAATGTCATTGATAACTGAGAGATGTGCGTCCAATCAACTCCACCTAGACACACTACTCCAGAGCGCATGCCTTGTTAATCTAGGTGGTGTTGGCCCAATCCATCTGTAGCTGGATCTCTACTCGCAGAATAATGAAACTGGCGCGAAGGTGGGGTGTCGGGCATGCATATAATAGCACAGGAACGTCGGACTTGAAGTCTATCACGTCTTAAAGTTTGGGGAGCGCGAGGGACCTTTTCACCTTGAATTAATGGAATATGCCGGAGAGTGTGATCCGAATTCTAAGGTAGATCGTCAAACACCTCTCCACAGAACTGTTGCAGGAGATCTGGGGTGAGCCGACCCGAGTACCATGCGCGCCCGTTTTCTTGATCCTCCAGCACCGTAG